AAACGCTTAGCTTTTTTTTCCTTCCCACGGGAAAAACAAAAGCAATGTGGAAGGACTCTCTCAGCGTTAGGCAGCCACTCGCCTGGGCATGTCCCTGCTCCTGCCGAGGGTCCACCCTCACAGCTGGTGCCTGTCCCTGCCCCGATCATTCCCGAAGCCGTGGGCTCAGTGCAGCAGCTCTCCCACGGGAAGGTGGGAAGCGGCCGCCCCTTGGGTTTGTGGCCATGTCCAGGTGAGCTCCTTCTGTCCTTTACGGCGAGATTCACCAGGGCCGGCCGTTCTCACCTGCTCTGCTCTCTCGCCTCTCTGGAGATCCCACGTCTCTGCTCACCCCCCACCCGCACCAGACATGCTCACGTGGTGCTGATGATCCAAAGCTTCCTAAATGTTACCTAATGCTGGAGGAGCAGGAGGCGAGAGGCGCTGCCTCCCAGCTGGTGCGTGCTTGGACCCCGCCGCTTCCCACAGGTGCCTGTTGTCTGCCCCCTCACCCTCTGCAGAGAACGCACCCAGAGAACCCCAGCAACACTGCACGGCTGATCTGTAAGGGGTTCACTCCAGTGCGAGGTCTGCCACAGTGCTCTTAGCTTTTTCTATAAATCCCTTATTTCGAAGAGCTTCGTAATAATTGTGTGTGGCCAACCTGAAGATATTTTTGAAGTTACACTAATTTATGTGGCTGTCTGTGTTATTTATCTTTATCAAAAAGCAGTGATGTGAAAGAAGGAGAGAAGGTAGGATTTCCTACAGTAGAGGCCATGAAAGAGTAGAAAAAGAATTGTACAAATTCATCAGAGACGAGAGCAGGCATGAAGCAATCAGACGCAAAGACGACTGAAGACTCAAGTCCTAAATCCTGACCTAGATTTATTAATAATACATGAGCAGCCACATCTCATATAGACAGGCTAAGCTTGTAGGTAAAAGATGTGCTTGATTTGATAAAGTCAAAACCCAACAGAAAATTATTTACTCAAGGTGAAGAGAAACCTAATAACAGAGCTTTTTAAAAATAATGAAGAAATGTAAGGCAGGCCAAAAACAAGTAAAGGTAGCCTAGTGCAATAAAGTCAATGAAAAAAAAATAGATCATCCACTAAAGCGATATTAGGAATATTGGGAAAAAGCAGTATTAGGAATAAGCTTGTTCAATATAAAGAATAATTCATGCAGAAACTAGACCCCTACCTAACAACATAAAGTAGAATTTTAATGTTAACTACAAAGCAAAATGAATGGCAGAAACTGAAAAATAAACAATCCTAATGTGAGATTTTAAAGTGTTTCTCTCAGAAACAGACATACGAGAGGGAACACATTTGAAGAAAGAAGAAGCCTGATCTGTCATGTAAATAACCCTAATACGACATAAAACGCACATTCCTTCATTCCCACAGAAAACATCTGTAAAAACTCCCACGCCTAAGGCAGAACGGGAATCTTGGAAATGCTAAAAATGACATACTTTTTAACTCTTTCTTTGATCTTAATGTAGTAACATCTGAAACAACAAAAAATTCACCCTGAAGCCTTAAAAAATTTAGAAATGCAAAACCACAATCATTGTAAGTAATTCACGGATCAGACAGTGAAACAGTGGTGTCTAACCTTACTTAAAAAACAACATACCGAGTTCTCCTCTCAGAAAGATGTGACTCCGAGTGAAGGTTCAGTTTTCAACAAATATTTCCAGAAGACCTGATTCGGACACTTGCCGTGAATATACACATGTACATATAGATTTTTAGTAAAGTCTATTTCATTTACCTATAGATCTACCTACCTATGTTGAGAACGATTGAGGGCAGGAGGAGAAGGGAGTGACACAGAATGAGGTGGTTGGATGGCATCACTGAATCAACAGACATGAGTTTGAGCAAGCTCCGGGAGCGCAAAGGACAGGGAAGCCTGGCGTACTTCAGTCCATGGGGTCACAGAGTCGGACATGACTCACTTACTGAACAACAACCTGCCTATCTTTCTAAGTGCCACCTATCTATCTACCTTTCCATCTATCATCTGTGTATTCTATTGGTCTATTCGCAGGTTTCATTTTTCTTTTTATTCCAACATATTTGAAGCATATGCTATCATCTGTATTATTAGGACACTTGGTGAATTTTAGTTCATCATATTGAGGTCTTCAGACCAGAATAATAAAAGTATTATGAACATTATAGGTATTATTTAGCCTTTGTAAGTAAGTTTGAAGTAAGTTCCCTGAAATATAAAAGTATCCCCAAAGTGCCTTTCTGAGTTCTTCCTGAGAGAACTCTGAACAAAGTGCCTTTGTTCACATGGATAAATATACAAAACAACAAAATACACACACATATACTGACACACAAACATGCACCAAAACAAAATAAGTAAAGCAAGACAAATAAGCAGACCAAAAAAAAAAAAAAAAAATTACAGAACTACATAAGGCAGATTTCTGGTGTGAAATGATGAATCCAGACCTAAATAGTTAGCTCACTTCTACATCTCCACTTCTGCAATGATTTTTCCATGTTAATATTTCAGTGACTGAGGAAACAAGTCAAGTCAGCCTTGATGAGGATCAGTCTATCCATATTTGTAACTTGGTTTTCATTATGGGTTGATTGTAATAAACTTCACTATGATGGTTTTCATTATGGATGTGTTGTAACAAACACCTTTATGAGCCTGAATGTATTCTAACTTCATTGTTTTGGTTCAGTAACATCTTTATTGGGGGAGATACAGCAAGACACCCCCTTTTACACCGAGATACTGTCACATCTAGGAGATGACACAGTCACCTAGTCAAGTCACGACACTCAGCCTTCACACTTTACACCAAATGGTTCTCCAAAGACTGTCAAGTACAGAGATGGCCTAACATTTTTGGTTTCTCTGGTTAGAAGGAGACAGCTAGATGCCTTTTCAGTGGGGGGTGCGGCGGCGGGGAGGACAAGGTGTCTAAAGAAGAGGAAGGGCCCTTCAGGGAGGCGGCGTCTGCGGGTATGAACTGTGTGCAGCGCCAGGTTCCCTGACAGAGCCGGCTCAGTCCCAGAAGAACCGCAGAGGGAACTGCGGCACCTAGAGGACATGGGCTCTGTAAAGCTCCCCTGGCTGTGACTTCACGTATCCGCAAGTGCTCTGAAGTTTGGCAAAGCGGATGCTCATCCCGCAAGTGGCAAGAAAATAGGAGATAACTGTACCAAGTATCCTATATCCTTCACGTCCACCACTGTCATGTCACCAGAAGAGTCCATGATTTGAAAAGAGACAGATAGAAAGAACAGACTTGTGGACACAGTGAGGGAAGGACAGGGTGGGACGACTTGAGAGAGAACCATGGAAACGCAGACATCACCAAACGCAGAATGGATAGCCGTGGGAATTTGCTCTATGATGCAGGGAGCTCAAACCCTGCGCTCCGCGACCACCTAGAGGGGAGGGATGGAGTGGGAGGTGGGAGGGAGGGGCCATACCTCTGCCTGTATGGCAGGAACCAACACAATGTTGTAAAACAATTATCGCCCAATTAAAAATGAACAAATGTATATAAAAAACAAACAAAAAATAAATAACGTTAAACAGAAAAAAAGAAAATAAATGAAGCTGTGCTCCAAAATCAAGGGTGATGTGTAATTGATTTACTAAAAGAAGGAACACTCCAGTACGATTCCCAAGGATTCCAGAAAATGCTGTTGAAACAGAAGTTGGGCTGCTAGGTGGGAGGGCTGGCTCTGCCATTGGTGGAATCCGGCGCAAGGTACGAAACCACGAGGGATTTCAAGCTGGCGGCGTCGGAGAATTAAACCAAGTGGGGAATGTTTTCAGCACAGGGCCCTGAGCCATGGGGCAGGGAACACGCCCAGGAAGCCGGTCCTGCAGCTAGCTTATTCCAGTCACTCTCATGCTTAAATGAACTGAAATGCTTTCTTAACATCCTGGGAGTTAAGTCCTTTCACATGTATGGACCCCTCAGGGACCAGGGTCCTTTTCATTCCCTGGGTAACCTGTACACTACTGGGTGCTAGTATTTTCAAGGCTTAAACCTAAGTTGCTGTTGCTCAGTTGCTCATTTGTGTCTGATTCTTCGTGACTCCATGGACTGCAGCATGCCAGGCGCCTTCACCATCTCCCAGAGTGTGTTCAAACTCAGGCACATGGAGTCAGTGATGCCATCCACCCATCTCATCTTCTGTCGCCCCCTTCTCCTGCCCTCAGTCTTCCTCAGCATCAGGGACTTTTCCAAAGTGTTGGCTCTTCATGTCAGGTGACCAAAATATTGGAGCTTCAGCTTCAACATCCATCCTTCCAGTGAATACTCAGGGTTGCTTTCCTTTAGGATGGCCTGGTTTGATCTCCTTGCTGTTCAAGGACTCTCAAGAGTTTCCTCCAGCACCACAGTTGGAAAGCATCAATTCTTCTGGTGCTCAGCCTCCTTTATTGCAAGAGAAGTGTTACTGCCCCCTCTCCTGTCCCTGGCAGCGTTGCTGTAAGATCATTAGTTCTTCATGATCACTAGGACATGACGGTCCCCTGCTGCATCTCCTCCCGCATTTCTACCAAATGGACACAGTCACCCTCCTCTGGATCTCGGTTGTAATAGAAGCAGTTCTGCTGATGGGTGTGTAGGAGTCAGCAAAGTGTAGACAGAAACAACAGGACCATCCAAAGTCCAAGCGGGAGGAAAACAGAGAAGGGGTCCGTTTGTACGGGGAGGAGGTGTCCAATGACAAGACGCTTTGTCTACACCCTGCCTCTGCATCCCGAGAAGAAAACTGCGGACAGAGGCGAAGCATCCGTTTACCATCTGGAAAGTATTTCCTCTCGGTCTACCTTCAGCCGGTTGACCAGGAAGGCGTGCAGTGAGCGCCTGTGCTTGGAAAACGAGAGCAGTAAGAGGAACAACAGGAAGAGCCGCTCCATTTAGATAAACTGAGAAATCGAAAGGAAATAAATATCCGTGTGATTTATGGTTCATGTATCAAAAGCAAGCCATAAAAATGCCTGATCCTCGCTCAAATGAGCCGGGGGGAGCGTCGCGCACAGCCGTCTGCGCGTGGCCGGCGGAGCCTCCTTCCAGGCGCGCGGAGGCGGCGGCAGGGGGGCCTCGCTCGGTCCCAGCGGAGCGGCGCGAAGCGCTGATGCTCCATCACGGGGCCCGGGTGCTCCCGCTGGCCCCCACCTCGCAGACATTTGAGACCATCTTCCTCCAGGCTGGGAGGCTCAAAAACTGGCAGTATTCTGGGCAAGGAAGAAATGTATCTGACGTTTCAGAGGACAACAGAACAACTTTAAAATTAAGATCTGTTTTCCCAATTCAGCCCCCCGCCGTCAATCAAAGACGGTGGGAGGGCCATGGGTGGACGCCTTGCAGGAGGCAGCCTAGTGAGAAAGACACAGGCTCTCCCAGGGGTAAATGTAAAGTTTGGGTGTGCCGCTCACTTAATCTGGAAGGAAAGACTGGCAGTATTCTGGGCAAGGAAGAAATGTATCTGACGTTTCAGAGGACAACAGAACAACTTGAAAATTAAGATCTGTTTTCCCAATTCAGTTGGGAATAGACAGCGCACAGGGATGGATGCATGTAACATAGGTTCGGTCTTCTGTGTGTGTCAGTGATCGTTCTGCTTCACAGACTAAGTGAATAACTACTGCGGACTTGTTTCTTATTTCTGGGAAAAAAGGAAAGAGCCAAGATTTCCTGAGTGCTTTAGCACTTGTCCTGGACCGAGCGAGAGATTTTGCATGGATTCCCTCAACACGTCCTTGACCTGCACGGCCCTGACTAGTACAGGTGAGGGCGCTAATGTAGTGAGTAAAGTATAATATAATACATATAGTAAATATGATACATACAATAATGTGTCCCTGGGCTAAGTCTTGTCCGACTCTTTGCCACCCCATGGACTGCCGCCCTCCAGGCTCCTCTGTGCATGGGAATCTCCAGGCAAGGAGGGGGGTATTCATTTCCTCCTCCAGCGGATCTTCCTGACCCAGGGTTCGAACCTGTGTCTCTTGTGTCTCCTGCCCTGGCAGGCGGATTCTTTACCACTGTGTCACCTGGGAAGCCCCCAAAGACCCCGCTTTCTGCTTTGGGGGCGAAGTTCAGCAAAGCCAGCTACTGCGGGTCTTTAACATCGAGATGCGTGAGACCACACGTGACGTGGCGAGCGCCTCGGCTCTCTGAAGGGCCTGGGGAGCTTCGCCTCTGTAAATACGTTACTCGGATGCTTTTGGCGGCCCCTCGGTGGCGATGAAGCCAGGGGACGCAGACAGACCGTGAATGAGTCTGGGGGGGTGACGGCTGGGGGAGGCAGGGCAGGACCTCGGCTGCCCCCTGGGCTCCTGCCCGCGCCCGAGTCAGGGGGCCCGGGCGTTCTCGAGGAGCGTGTCGGGGCGGTGGCCCCGGGGACAGGTGACCGGGATGACCGAGGCCCGCTGCCACACGCGTGCAGGGTCCACTCTCCCCGGACAGCCGGGACAGGCCTCGCCGCAGGCTCTCCTAACACGTTTCACTCGGTAAGGAAAGGAAACACCGGGGGATGGCCTGGAGGCTGAGTGGGAAAGAGCTCCTCTGCCCACGGCCCGCTGCCCCTCCCGCAGCCTGAGCTGAAAAAGCCGGAACAAGCGCCGTCCACTCCGCGGCCCAGCCTGGCCAGGCCCGCCCCCAGCTGAGCGCACTTTCTGTGGCTCACCCGTTCAGGCAGCTCCTGTTCCTCTCGCTTCTGCCGTCACGGATTGCATGGCTGCGGTCGGCACTTCTAGTCCCCCGACTCAGGAGCCCCGAGGACTGGGCTTTATACCTGCAAACCTGACACCCGTTCAGAGAGACGCGGCAGCTCTTACCTGGGGGGACAGGCAGACAGCTTGCAGGGCATGACCCCCGTGACCGGCCGGGCGTCGGGGCTGCAGAAGGAGGCGTTCACCAGGACGCGCAAGTCTCTGTAGCAGCCTGCTCTCGTGGTGGTCTGCCCTGCGAGAGAGAGGGAGGCGCGGTGAAGACTCACAGACACGTCCCTTGGTAAAAGCAGGAGAAAAGCTAATGACCACGTCTCCGGAAACCTTTCTCCTGTGTATTATTAGCCTGCTTTGCATGAATGACATTTGGCTATGATATTCCACTTCTCTGATCTGTCCTGGTGATTTTTTATTAGTGGATTTCATTAGTTCTAAAATGGCTTCTATCTTCCCCCTGCATTAAAAAATATATATTTATTTTTACTTTTGGCTGCATGCAGGGTCTTCATTGTGGCATGTGGCCTCCAGAGTGTGTGGGCTCAGAGGTTGCCATGTATGGGCTTAGTTGCCCCGAGACATGTCAGATCCGGACCAGGAACTGAACCCCTGTCCCCTACATTGGAAGGCAGATTCCTAATCACTGGACCACAAGAGAAGAAGCCCACCCCTGCCTACATTTTAACATCTTTAAACGTGTGCCTTGCTATTGGTGCTAACTTATGTTTGGTGCAACACTCTGCCCCCATCCCATCTTAGCCCCGACATCCCCAGGCTGGCCTCTTGGACTCACGGAGCCGGCCGTCTGACAGATACACAACCCACAGACATGCATTCAGAGCAGGCTTCCTGAAGGCTCTTCTGCAGGCGTCTGTGGTCTCTGTAGTCAAGGGATCAGTCTTGTAAGCCCCTGAGTCCCCTCCCATGCCTTGCTCTGAGTCCACTGTTTAACTGAATCCACCTATATTTCCTTCACACACACACACACACACACACACACACGCTCACACTGCTCCCAGATTAAAAGCCCACTCTTCTTTCGTTAAACTGGAGACCTCCTGGCCTTGTTTTCCAGCCCTGCTGCCTCTCTCTTGTGCCGACATCTCCCCTGGTCCTCTGAACCCCAGAGCCCACCCACAGCTGTGTCTGTATGTGGAACTTGGTCCTCAACTGCTGTCCCTGACACACCTGGTGGAAGTCCTGTCATCCCTCTTCAGCAGGCCCACACCACGTCCTCCAACCCAGCACCTTCCCGTGCTCAGGGGTTCTCGGACTCGAGTGTACACCTGAATCCTCTCGTTAGCTTAAATGCAGACTCCTGGCCACTTCCAGAGCCTTGGATCCGGCAGGCCTGGGGGGCTCCTGAGAATGTAAGTTTCTAAGATGTGCTCACATGTCCAGGAGCTGCTGCCCTGCGGACCACACTCCCAGAACTGCTGCTCTAGGAACTATCAGAAGCTGCCACTTTAATGTCTCCTGTTAACACAGGTTTGATATAGTAAAAGATGAATACTTGGTCTCTGCCCCTGGTTCTTGGAATAGCTCCTAGAACCTTTGGAGTCTCTTTGTGAGCACCTGAGCAGACTGGTTGGTGGGGGTGGGGGGAGCCCTGCAAGCTTATGGATGGAGCTGGTCCCCAGAAAGACGGAGGCGTGATTAGAGGGTTTGCAGCCCAACCCCGGACCTCTGGGGAGAGGAGATGGGCTGGAGATTTAGTTCAATTACCAACAGCCAATGATTTAATAATCCTGCCTGTGTAATAAAATCTCTATGGAAACCTGTAAATAATAGGATTCAGAAAGCTTCCAGGATGATCTCTCTTTCAACTGCTTCAGTTGTGTGACTCTCTGCAGCCCCATGGGCTGTAACCCACCAGGCTTCTCTGTCCCTGACATTCTCCAGTTAAGAACGCTGGAGTGGGTTGCCATGAACGCCAGCATCTCCTCCTCTGTTGCCCCCTTCTCCTCCTGCCCTCAGTCTTTCCCAGCATCAGGGTCTTTTCAGTGAGTCACCTCCTCACATCAGGTGGC